AAACAGTTTCCTTTTCGGGTCATGTTTAAGACGACCATGTGTCAACAAGACGATCTTGGACTCCCAGGGTCTACGAAACATATCACTGGACGTCCAAGACTTTCTTGGTAAACATGTTGATCTGGTTTTGTAGTATTTAATCCGTAGTAAAACAATGTAAAAAATGATGGTTCGACTTCAGGGATATATATGAACTCACTGCACGGCTTTGTCCTGAACCACTCGGAATTTCTGGTCATGATCATCCAATCAAGCTCCACGACCCACGCACCTAACACTTTTCCACCTGTGCGGCTCGGAAGTTGAGCTTGGTCCACCTCTTCATCGATTGCTTCCAATCACCGGTGAGCAAACAGTCACCGAATAGTGAGTGGTTCGATCAGTGAATCTTCTGGGCACCCTCCAGGATCGGCACCTCGACATGGAACTTCCCAGCCAGACGGCGAGATCGCGCACGCGCCAGCCACCTATGCCGTGCCGTGGGGCCCTGACTCGCACTGAGGCATGCAATCAGAAGACCGAATGCACGCAGGACCCCACCGATTTGGGTTGGTACTGCGAGTCGTGCCTTGGTTTGTTTTTGGATCGGAGAAGATCGGTTTGAGAGTCTCGGGACAAATCTAAATAGCTTCCAAATCGACTCAAATGGTATTTTGCGATCTCACATGAATCCGGTGCGGTCCATGGTATGGTTCCATGGTATATACCCTAGCCTTCAAAGACCATTACTGTGAAAGAATGGTTGACTTGGTGGTGTAGTGTAAAAGTCCTGGGCAAAACAACTTCGGTATTGTAGGTACAGAACACCCCAAATATGTTGCTTTGTTTCTTCCTATCAAAACAAGGGTCAAACGGATTCCAGGTATACCTAAGCCTTCCAACCACCATTTATTTCATACTTAGAGGATGTTACACAACCAGCTCAGCTCTTTGTTAAAAATGCCTTCTTTGACCATCCCCCCAAAGAGTCTCGGTCTCAAATGGTCCGGCCTTTTTGGAGTAACGGTAAAACGGTCCACCGGCGAACCCGCGGTAACGGTGCACACGAACGGTGAACACCCATTGACATCAAGCGCGTGCTGCACAAAAAAAGTAAACACCATGGATCTTCCAACTATACAACATGTCCGCTTTGGGCTATAGTTGTATCATCTTTAATCCATGAAAAAGGCAGATCTGTTGCACAGGTGGACGATCTATAGGTATCTATCTACCACGGCGTATATAAATAGGCCGTGCTGCCCTGCGAGAGAGTCACGGCGACGAGTCACCGAGGTGTTGGATTAGCTACTATGGCGCCCCACCGGGTACCGAGAGCTCGTCGCTTGGACCGTCGACCAGTCCGACCAGTCGGGCCGTGACAGACGGCTCGGCCGGTGATCCCCGGTGATCCGATCGGGTGGTGTTCAGGGTCCGGACCCAATCCCGGTTTGGATGGGGACCGGGAAAGGCCTGTGAACCCCCGTCATGAAGCGTTCAGGAAGTTCCTTCAGATCACGTCATGAAATGACACCCCCGTTTGGGGTTGCAGAATGCATGGACACGACTGCTTGGTACCTCGGAAAATGGGTGTATACTGCAAGTGTACTGGGGCGCACTTAAAGATGTCAAAATGTATATAATTCCTGCATTTAAACATATTTGCTGCTGGGACCGCAGCTCAGAAGTACTCAATGATGAATCAAATAAAATAACTAAAAACATATTAAAACCCAAATAACAAAGGTGGGTTAACCTGCCCGTGGGACAAGGGTAAGGCATCCTCATGCAGCCAAACCGGAGATCTGTCATGCAGCCAAACGGTCCTGTGGCCATAAAGTTCACTTCTGGTTGTAATGAAAAATCGGTCAGGCAGCCAGGCTTCACACCCCTCTCTCTCCTACTCTCTCCTTTGATAGAGGACCATCTCCCCCAATTAGAACTTAGAATTGAAATTAATTCACCTTTTCACAAAGTCTCATACCTGCACTTCAGGAAATCATCTCAGTAGTGACAGGGCTTGATATACCCTCCCTTAGTGAGGTGGGTAGCGCTAGCGACTGCAGTAAGCCTCCATGTGATTTTCTTAAGTGCAGGTGAAAATTTTTCAGGGACGCTTAAATCAATTCAAAAACCATGCCCCATTGATTGAGAGCCATGGGCTTACTGAGGTCGGTAGCGCTACCGACCTCCCTAAGGGGGAGGTGTGGCATGTCCTCCCCTTACTGCCCTGATTTCCTTAAGTGCAGCTGCATTTTGAAAATAAGTATTTCCTACTTCCCAATCAGGGTGACCAGGAAGAAAAAACATGTCATCCTTCGGGGAGTCCAAACAGGGGTCAGAGAATCATATCCTTGCTTGGATGTGTAGACAGAGATTCAATGGCACCACTGCTGCTGTAATTTTGTACGGATGGTACTAAAGAGCACATGATTGTTCCATGCCCTACAGAATCACAACGGGTCCTAAGATCCTAAAGACTGAAAGCTGTGACTTCACAGGGTGCCCTTTGTTTGGGGGGCAAACCAGACATCCCAGCCTTCTCCCCAACTCATAGGGAGTTTATTTAAACAATATATATGTTAAAAATCAGGGAGGTGAATTTTTGACTTTGTTAAGTGCAGGGCAGTGTACACCTGTTTTTTGTTCAGGTCAGGTCGCATTGACCTTCGGGTACGAACGGCCCATCGGGTCCAGCGGCGGGCCAACCCGGCCGCCTTCTTGGGTAGTGAAGAATGGCTCTGAGCACTTACCCCCAGCAACTACCCCACATTGCTCGTCTCGGTCTGCGTAGTGTCTAAAAGTCTAAACTCCATAAACTACCCAGGACCCACTGAACGACAGGGGTGGTTGACAGGGGCTACTAATAGACACCCCCAAACGTGGGAGGCCTTGGTATGTGCCTGGACCCTCCAAAGTGCCTTGGAAAATGAGACATGACCTCTTTAAAAACAGATCCAGAAAAGGACGTACTTGTACTATCTTGTACTCATTTTCTGGGGTACTTTGAGACTCCAGGTACTTCGAAGAATCGTGTCCTCCGAAAAGCGCAGCAGAGCGCCAACCTGGTCTGCGGATCGGACTCGGACCAAGAAGACGCTCCGAAGAAAGCACCCCCCAGTGCCCCCGGTGGTGGTGTCAGGACTCCGCCCCCCTGAATCCGGACATGTGTTTCTCATAGAAAAAAACACCGGACATCTCCTGGAAGGTGCTGGTACACTCAGGTTTCAAGGGTCTCGGTCTCCAGGTCGGACTGCTCATCGTTGGAAAACAAGACCGCGTTTCTCTTGTCACATCTGCACAGAGTCCAGATGCCGATAGAAGAGAACCGAAGAACATGTGTGGCCACCTCCTGTGAACGTCACTGGAACTGCGTGGTTATAACCTCTCAGAATCCTGGCCTCCCTCATGTGGTAACAAGTAGACTGAAGATAGGAATCAATTTGAATCAACATCACACAAGAAGCCTGGCCTGCACTCCCACCTACTGATTTGATTTCTGTGCTCCTTCAGACCATCTTGCCTTGTCTCTTTTCATTCCCTAGTAGTCCAAGTGCCTTCTCACAAGGTGATTGGAGACACTGTTATGTAGGTTTGGAGGGTCCAAGTACCTTCTGAGAAGGTACTTGGTTCCCTAGGGATTCACATCTAAATTATGTTCCATGGACTGCCTTTCTTGAGACATGACATCCGGCCAACTCTGCTGTAAGGTACATGTTCCTCCACACCAATCGGCTGGTCAAGGTCAAGGATGGCCGTGTTTGGCCGGAGGTGGAATTGCTCTCAGCCGCTTGAGATTAGATGTGATGGTGGAGAACGGTGGTGGCAAACACGCGCCGCGCAACGTGGTCCCCTGGAATATGGGACATGACACGACCCCAACAGCGCGATCTGACTTCTCGCAAAAAAGCTGAAGTCTTCCAACCGTGCAACATTTCATGCCTTAACTGGCTGATTGTAAAGAGAAAGAGGCAGGAAGATCCAGGCACAGTTGGAAGATTCAGGCACGTATGAGGAAGCTCCACTTTTTAAACGGTTGGCATCCGACGTCGCTGTGATCTGCACGCTGCATGTTTCACCACTTAGGGTTTTCGGGTGGAACACCAAGAAAATATGGAGTGGCCAGGAAGTTCCAGACTGAGTTGACCTTCAGTTTTGTGACCTCGGTGATTGGAGTCTGTGGTTAGTTCTTTGGTTTTAAGTGACCTCATCTAGCCCTATGGATCCACGTACCTTCTCAGGTTTGGTGAGCAGGGAGACACTGTTATGTAGGTGCCAGGAGGGTCCAGTCGTACCGAACCTGAGAAGGTATTTGGTTCCCTAGGGTAGAAACAAAGTGACCTCCTCCTTTTATGGACTAAGTGGTCTCCTTTTGAGATCTCCTTCGGATGGTCACGAACTTTAAGGTTCTTTTCGTGTCCAAGCTGACCACGTCAACGGTGACACTGTTGACGGCCATTTGGGGAAGGACCGAACCCAGACACTCCATGTACCAGGACCGAAGCCAGTTCACCCGGTGGTTGGACTGGACAGCCCGGCCCTCTAAGACGTACCTAGAGGCGTCCTGGACACCTCTTGGAAGGTCCTGGTATGGAAGACATATATACATTGTCTACGGCTCCTGTCCCACATCCGAAAAGAAGTGGTTAGGGTGGGTGCCACGGGGGGGGCCTACGACACCAGGTCAAGTAAAGTCTTTGAATGGTTGAACGGAAGGCCAACGGGTTCCGGTGAAGAACAAGAGAAGCCTTCCGGTTTGGGACCCTCCCAAGTAAAAGAATTCCCATCAACTCCCCAGCACTCAGTTCGTCACCGATGGAGCCTCCTGACCCCGTGTGTTGGATCCAACCACCATCCAAAACTGGGCGGTGGCCAAACTCCTCTCCTTACTTGTCCCACTTGTTGGTGACTTCCTCCCCCTCCATCCCTCGCCCTCTCTCCCGCCCTCGCCGCGGCGCGACGGCCAGCTAAACGTCTCCGAGGCGTGGAACGCCCATCCGATCCCCAAATGGCCGCCCCGGATGCCGCCCTGCGGCCCCGTCTCGGTCGAAGGAGGCGAGTGCCGCGTGCCGTGCCACGCGCTCCGCGGGGAACCTCCGGGAACCTCCGGGGCCGCGGACGGGGCGGGTGGATCCAAAGGGGCAGACGTGGGTGGGTCGACAAGGCGAACACTTAAGGTCAACCTAATGCGAAACCCAAAAGCGGATCGTGCACGGCGGAGCGGATCGTGCACGGCGGAGCGGACGAGACGAGGTGGTTTCGTTTGGATCAAAGAGGGCGATGGACGTCCCTGGTAGATGAAGAGGATCTTGGATCAAGCTTACCTCGATGTTGGCCTCGATGCTTGGCCACTGGCCGCCGCCATCGCAAGTGTCCTCACTCTTTGTCCGATCGGCAAGGGGTCCAAGGACGACTTGGGACCTTCTCAGGCCAGGACCCAGGCCTCCCCTGGCCTTGTAGCAAAAGAATGTAAAACAATGATGGTTCTTTCGTCAAGACCATTAACACAATGGTTGCTCGAACCTAGGGTACAGGTTGCCACAATGGAGACCTCATAGGCAACCCTCAACTAACGATTGGAGATCACTGGGGTAGGTTGACCATGCTTGACCATCGATACATCACCCTAGCCTTCCAAGACCACTAAAAGAGTTCCGGTTGACCTGGTGTTCTAGTGTAAAATCCTTAGATTAATGATGGACAGGGAATCTTTGGGGATCATCTCGGCCAACACTTCTGGTCAGACACCCCATGAAACCCCGTCCGCCGCCCTGATCGTGACCGCAGGCGACCCCACGCAGATTGGGGACGCCTGGGTGCGAGCTCCAGAGTCGTTTTGGTCGGAGGGAGGGAACACCAGGATACATCCCTGGCCCTGGGTGGTGCTGCGAACGGCTTTTTGGCACCACCATGTTCGGGACATGAGGAAGGGTCAGGTACCAGCTTCTGCCGTTCGTGACCGAGCGACCGAAGAACCAGGTGCAACACCTTCGAACGAGGGAAGTGGATGAAGTGGTTTCGCACCTGATCTGCGAAACAGCTCGGGAGTCAGACTATAGTCTGGGCTGGTCTGGACAGCACAGCTATATACGGAGTTGCCAATTACATTCGCCGGCTGCAGCCTGAGCAGGCTTTGCTATCAGTGGTCATTGGCACGGTGTGCTACAACTCCTGGCGTTACCTCGACGCTTTGTTCGGAGGTCTTGATCACAGATTCCGCCATAGCCTCTCTCCGCGAGATGACATTTGCACAGGTTTGGACACTAGAGCACTTCAATGCTGCAGTATCTGAAGGCCATACCCTTCGGCAGCCAACGCCCTGGTCCAAGATGTCGGGAGGCAAGGTATCATCGCCGATGCTGGCATTGAAGCTCTCCAACTCTCAGGAAATCTACGCTGCAGGTGTGCTGGGGGAGAAACCCATACTCTTGCACACAGTTGCAAAGTAATGATCAAAGGGGGTCTGATCAATGTGTTTGGAGATTTTCGAGGGCTTCGAGAGAAGTTTGGTGTTGTGCCCAAAACCTGTATCGCGTGGATGGTGAGCCTGAACAACCCGCAATTTTTGTGCAGCTTTGGCAAGACATTTGTGAAACCAAAGGCCATGGCCGCCGGTGAAGCAGGCAACCCTGGAACCTGCACAGAGAACGATGTCACCTCCGGTTTGTTTCACACCGCTTGTCTGCACCTGCCAAACCCTTTGTTTTCACCTCAATAACTTCTTGTTACTAACCCTTCGGAACCCTCAGGAAACTGCGCAGAGACTGTCCGGAACGACGGGAACCGCCGGAAACTGACCCGGACGCCTCCGGAACGTGAGGCAGCACAGGATCCATCCATCCATCCATCTATCCACCCATTCACACATCCATCAACGGAGTGCCAACCAACCGACCAACCAACCAAGCAACAACGCGGCCAAGCCAACAAACCAACCCAGCAACCAAGCAACCAAGCCACATAACTCCGTGTTTTCCCCAAGTGCTGTAGATACTAGAAATCCCGTGCGGGGGAGGCTTGGTTTGCATTGCGGGGGAGGCGCTGCGCCCTCCCCATTTACACAGCATCCATCCACCCACACATCCATCAACGGAGTGCCAACCAACCGACCAACCAACCAAGCAACGCGGCCAAGCGAACAAACCCACCAAGCAACCAAGCCAAGCAACCAAAACCACCCATCCCGTAGCGCTGCGCCCTCCCCCGCACCCCCTCCCGCCTTTATTTACACAGCATCTATCCATCCATCCATCCATCCATCCATCCATCCATCCATCAACACAAACAGAAAACATTGCATGTCCATCAAGCACTATATCACGCAAGCAATCAACAGCAAGCAAACCAAGCAACCAACACACCAAAAAGTAACATTTTTGTCCCTGTCCATGATCCATCCATCACTGTATGTGTTTTCCCCAAAACCAAGCAACCAACAAGCCAAGCAGGCCGAACCAACCAACACACCAACCAAAGGAAGTGGTAAAAAAGAAAGGTAGCCCACCAAGCCACCAGCAAACCAAGCAACCAAACTGTGTTTTCCCTAAATGCTGTCGATACTGGCTTTGTATTGGTAGCCCACCAAGCAACCAAAACCACGCAACCCTGTGTTTTCCCCAACGGCTGTCGATATTTGGTTTGCATTACAACAAGCTAGCCAACCAACCAACACACCAAGCAAAGAAAGGCGGGTGAAAAATAAAGGGTCGAGGGTCAAGGAAAAGAAAGGGTAGAGGGTGAAAAAGGAAGGTTCGAGGGTAACTTTTTTTCATGTGACAAAGGTTCCAAACAGAGTCATCCAAAGCTCGCTGTTCCAAACGTCTCTTCGTCCTGCCATGCATGCAATCTGCCACCTTGTTTTGGGATGAGGAACTGCCAGGTGGAGTCCAATGTGTCATTGGGGATCATTGGAGTACAATGGAGTACCATGGACTACGCTCCCACTCACAAACATGGAAGTTAGTTCACCACCTGTTGCTAGAGTGAACATGTCTTCCAGGGCCATTTACCTGGAATGAGTCAGACTGTATTAGCCAGGAAGTTCGGTCAGCCAGGTTTCCTCGGGACGATGTTTCGGAGTTCACCTTTCGGCGCAATGGAGTACAGACATGAGTCAACCCCGGCGAGCCGGCCTTTTCCTCATGCCGCGTGTTTTGGAAGGAATTCCCTTTTTTTGGGCGCTGGGACGTGGGACAGAGATCCAGCACTTGTCCTTTTCATGGAATTCTCTAAGGATTGATTGGACACTGATTCTGTAGGACACGTTGTCGTTCTGATGATATTTATGGCAGAAGGTGAGACGGCCTGAAGAAGTGTGAACGCAGTGAATGTATACAAAAATGCTTTGGAGTGGATTTTTATTTGAATTTGTATAAACCCGTGGCAAAAATAATAGGCACCCCTGCTCTCAAGAGATACCTCTTTGGAACCCTGGATCTACCCATTCGCCGTCCGTTCGACCAGGGGTTCGGGACAGACCTCCTGAGAGTAACGGTTCAAACGGTGAAATCGGTGAAAAAGCATGTGAACACCCATTCAATCTGAATGGTGCCTGGAATATCTTGCAATCCTATGGTCTGCTGCACACTGCCTCCTGTTGTCATCCACTCCAGGTGCCCGTGCAGATTCACGTGAATCCGGGCCTCGTGGGACAATGGGCACGCCAATGCACGCGTGAATACCGACCCTATCCGGGCGAAATCCTTTGCAAAAAGTCGGGGCTCCCAGCGAGTTGGTCGTGTTTTTTTTGTTTTTTTGGCAACCGGCCGGGGAGCGAAGGTAACACAAGCATGCATGTGTTCGCGCGCGCGAGCTTTGGGTGGGGAGAGTTTGGGCGAGGCCATGATGGGTGAAAAGAAGCGTGACCGGTAATGTTTTTGTGGGCATGTATCAGCAGAACCAGAGTTGAAGGCGCCGCTGCCTGCTTGCCTTCACTTGTCTTCTCAGGTGCATGATCTGGAAGCAATTTGAATACGCAGAGGAACACCATTTAAAGGCTGTATTGCCGCAAATGTTTTGCTAAAGCAGAATTGACAAGCGGGCGAAGAATGGCCCGGGATTTTTAAACATACCAGTATGTAGGTGTACAGTTTACTATATCAAGAACACCTTTTCAGACAAGATTCAGAAGGGTTAAGGCAAAGGAAAGTCCAGGCCAGAAACTTTCCCATGGCAGCTTGCAAACAAGAGCCCTCTTCCATCCATCTCAGTGAACCAATAGTTTCAAGGCAACTGTCAGGTTTACTTTGGCTTCTTGGTGTTGCGTTGCGGAAGCTTTCAAGCGAAAAGACCTTTAAGCCAGCCCAATCATTCATGGAACAGTGCCCCCTTTGCTCATGTATGTTTCCGAGATAAGTTAAGCTATAGTAAGGTTCCGTTTGGCTGGGCACTGCTGCAAGCTATCTTGATCAAAAGAAAATGTATGATGAGAAGAGAGAAAAGGTAAGATTATAAGATGAGAAGAAAAGGTAAGTGACCGGTGGTGAGAAGCACTGAAGAGGCAAGAAGATAATAAGAAAAGGGCATGACATTAAACAGAATGAAACAAGATGAAGAGACATGAGCTGACATGAGATGAGACAAAAGGCATGAAATGAAATGAGACCAGATGAAAGACATGAAGTGGAATAAGATGAGAATAAATATGCAGCAAGTGAAGGGTTATATATAGATGAGCTGTGACATGAGATGAGACAAAGAAAACGAGGTGTTATTAAATGATATGAGACACGTGAAAAGATATGATCTCACGAACATGAACATTCATGAACTGAAACGAGCTGAAAAGACTTAACATGACATGAAGCAACAGGACGTGGAGTGAACTAAGATGAAGCTGAATGTAAAATATGAACACAACATCAGCAAGGAGTGGTAGATTGTGCTGCCTGACAGTCGACCCCGTCCGGGCTGATGATGTAGATCTTCGCCTTCTTCTCTTCCGCTTCTCCTTCTCAACCTTTCGCTCTTCTAACTTTGACTTTCTGGGAGTTTGGGGTTCGTCGGCATCGTCGTTTGGCACTATGAGAGTGCAGCACTGTCAAAGTGCAGCACTGTAAAAGTGCAACACTGTAAAAGTGCAACACTGATGCTTTCTCAGGGAGAGTGGCGACAAGAAGGGAAAGGTGGGCAAATCATCTGACATCTGGCCTGAATGCATCCACGAGGCATGGATGGAGACATTTGCTTACCAATGCAATGCACGCCAAGGAGACCGGGCAAGTGCAAATCATCGAGGCCTTCGAAGCACCATTCACCGAGGAAGAGGCACAGTGGCTCAAGGTGGACCACGGCGAAGCATCCTCTCAAGCGGTTTGTGGGCGAGTCCGAACCCACCACCAGATGTTTCAGACACTTTCTGGTGGCTTTTCTTCTTGGTAGGTTTTGCTTCCTAGAGCGCTCTCTATACCAGAAGAAAGAACACCAAAATATTGTTTAGCCTGACAAAATGATTTTGGCGGCGCCGCTGTAATGGAGTGCTTCGGGGAGCTTGAGGAAGCTCGTATCCCAACGCTTTGGCAGTGGAAGCAGCACGCCCCCCCAGCCTGTTTTCTGACGGCCAAGCCCCACAAGTGGCGCGCCCTTTTTGCCCAGTGTCTTGAGAGCTTAGAACTCGGCCATTTACTGTTTTGACCAATATCTTGCGCCACGGAGGTGCAACTTTTTGGTTTACCCATCATGGCTCCTTTGACAAGCTCTTGATACAAGGCCGATGGGCGGCCCCTAAGACAGCCAGGATTTTTCTCAATGATGGCCTGGCGCAACGCAACTTGCCGATATGCCGAATTCAACTTTGAAGCGATATGCACAGCTTTTTCGTGACAGCCCAATCCTTGAGCCTGGAAGGCCAGCTTCCAGTTCAGGGGGACGTGGAAAGAGGAGTGGTGGAAAGTTTTGAACTTGAGATGTGGTCGAGACCTAGAACAGGGCAACGTCCTTTGAAACAACTGTTTTAAGTGACTGGCGTGAGTCCTTGTGGTTTCCCTCTCTCTGCGTTCGAGCCCAGGGAGCTCCGGTTTAGCGAGGGGTCAGGCTGTCGGGGCCCCGAGAGGTAAGTAGATCGGGTTGGAATGTTGTTGCTATATTGGACCAAACCACTGCAACGCAGAGAAAAGCTGGAGGTCGTGTTTAGATATAGATACCAATCCGTTTGGTGTTTTTTCTTTGTCAGTTTGCCTGTTGCCTCTCTCTCAAAAACTGCAACAAATGCACTCTCACCGTGCCCAACTAGGAAGCAGGAAATCACCCTACCGGTTTCCTACCAAGTTTTCCTGGTACATCTCGCATGTGTTTCTAGGCTGCCTGCGCTCATGAAGAAAATTGATTTATATAACCATCGCAGATATACGATTCTTTATCAATCTCTTTGGTGTGTTTCTTTCCTTTGCCAATTTGCTTGGTTCCTTATATCGGGCCTACATAAAAATCCGATTTCGATCTGGAACCCAATCCCAAAGATCTGAGTTCTTGTTGACGCGCTGCCCACCCTCTCCCTTGATTATTGGACATTCCTTCTGGTAGGGCTTGGCCTCTCAACAGTAGAACTTACTCCAACTCAAAGGTTCTAAATTTTATCATTGAACCATTGACTTTGAGCCGTTGCCTTTCTCACTTCAACTTCCCTGCGTGATTATTTTGATGTTGAGCAAGAAGGTCAGCAAGTCTTTTCTACCATGATCACGTTTGATCTTTAGCCATTGCCTTTCCCACCTCGCTTTCCTAGCGTAAAATTTCTCATTTGGAACCAGAAGTTCAGCAAGCCTTTCCAGAAGTCCAGCGTGCCCTTCCATCAAGATCATGTTTGATCTCGAACCAAAACCTTTTCCACCTCAATTTCCAGCATGATCATTCTTGATGTTGAGCAAGGAGTTCAGTGTGCCACCAACAACACTTTTTGGAAAAAAACTCAGCATACGGTTCTGCCATGATCATGTACCCTATTAAATTTTTGATGTTGAACAAGAAGGTCAGCATACCTTTCTACCATGATCATGCTTGATCTTGAGCTATGTTTCTTCCCAGTTTTGTCCTCATTCCTTCATTTCTAGCGGCCAGTCTGCGCATGTGCCTCGTTTTCTGAAATCGGAGGAGGTCTTGTAAGTGCTCCTGCTGCGAAACGCCTTGGCAGGGGTGCGCGATGTGAATCTTGAGGCGCAGATTTCGTGGCAGGCGCAGCATTTTGTGGACCTTGAGAGATCTTGAGAGGTGCAAACTTTGTGGCAGGAGGAGCACCTTGTGAACTTCGTGGCAGGCGCAGCAGTTTTGAAGCGCTTCACCACCACCACCACCGCCGCCGCCGCCGCCACCGCCACCGACCACCACCACCACCACCACCACCATCACCACCACCACCACCACCATCACCACGCTGTCGCAACAGAAACCTACCTCGATGACCAAGGTCATCCTGCAGTATTTGGATGGAGGGGTATCAGGAGGCACCCGTGACCGAATCTTTGAACCCATGTATAGGAGGATCGAGGAGGGGGCTGCGCGAAGTGCAGGAGGTTATCGCGGATCTGTCCCTGATGACTTGTCACCTGTTCAAAACGGCCAGAAAGATGAGGAGTGTGCCCACATCGTAGTGGGAATGCGATCCTATACCGCGACAGCTACGTGTCCGAAATAAACGACCTTTGTTACCGCCCATAGATCACGCATCGGGACTCCATAGACTGGCGAAGCTGCATAGACATGCAGGTCCTGATGCCGCTATGGAAGATGGGGGGCATGGAATATATCTTGGACAATCTTGGACACAACATAGTTTTTGCCCAAACCATCTGAAGATATCTGAAGGCGAAGGAGGGTCAATGGGTGTGGGCATTTGTGCCCAAAGGTAACCTGAAAGGGCAATGGCCGCCAAGAGGGTCTGCGGGAAAAGGGAAGGAGAGGGTGGTGGATGACGACATCAATACCGACGCATCCTATCGCCACAATATCTTCTTGCATTTCCATCCTTCAACCTATCAAGTCACGGCAGATAGGGCGCACATCTATGACATGTCTGAGGAGGATACAGAGAATCTACGTGGCCCCGAACCCAGCAACGGCCACCCATGGGTCATCACTTTCACTACCATCACCACCATCACCTCTCTCTGGAACCCAGTACGTCTAGATCTCTAGACCTTCTGCTTCTACACCTTTTGACCGTAGACCTTTAGACGCACTATTTGTGGTCTTTTGCCGGGATATGAAATATTTTTTTGTGTTCTGTTTCAGAATCATGCAAAAGCAGTTAATTTGAAACCAGGGTGGCGCTGCAGAAGTGCAGCGACGTGACATATCCTTTGCATGGTGCGAACCGTGTTTTTATGCGGGCTGTCGTTTTCTCATGCACTTAATGATGTCCAATCCAATCGTTGACTTGTTTGACAGAGTGAGATCTAAACTCGAATTCAAGTTCATCCTTCACATTTGGGCAAAATTCCGCTGGCCACCACGTTCGCCGAGGTATAAAATTGAACATGCGGTCGGTGCGGGGCATTTTACCCGCGCATATTTAGCCACCGACCTGGAGACGAATACCAAGGCGGGCAGCGATACCACGGGTCTCCTGTTGCATCGCCGACGGTGAGGTAGTCAGTGCATGAAATGCTGTCCACAAAGCCTTAAATGCTGTATATGTATGACATATGTGACATATGACATATGTATGGAACCTGCATTGGAGTTGTCGGAGTTGTTTCAGGGATCACGTGTATAGTCCATACTATGAGTTATTTGCTGTTACAGTTGCGATTTCCTTCTTGAGCACCCTTCCACTCAGAATGTCGGACCTGCATTCCGCAACTTGAACCTTCTAGGACTGGTGAGGGAAGGCAGATCCAGCCCATGTGCCACCGAGTTCATTGTAGGGGTTGTGTGACATTCATCGTCAATCACAGTGGATTTCTGTCATGCTGAGACCACCGTTGTGTCCCTTGTCTCACGCAGATCGGATCGGGAACGGGAGAAGAGAAGACAGCATTCGGACCCTCAGTCCTTATGGATCCAGTGGCACCTGACAGAGGTACGGTGAGCAGGAACATGATTTCTGTGGGCTCCATCAGGAGGGCCCAGTCGTACCGAACCTGAGAAGGTGGATTCGTGGATCCCCGAAAATTAGACACCTGCCAGGTTCACTTCCCAGGTTCGGAGAGCGTTTCAGCGCGATGCTGTTCCGGCTGAGTCACATGTGCCACATGTGTGTCGGTGGATCCATATAGGGGCTATATGCCATACACGGAGTGTTTGGGAAATACTCAGAACATCTTAAATCACTACCAGGCCCTTCCAAATAGCCTTTGTAAAGAGGTTGAGGATGTTAAGGCTGTTAAGGGCTGTCCAAGAACGGGCCCTCCGTTCACGTGGCTGGTCGAGCGAAAAAGCAGCTCGAGGCACGTCTTCCAGTCCCATGGATTGTTCCGGTCCAGCCAGAGGTTGGTCTGGACCCGAACTAGACCATCCCAGTTGGGTACTGTACCGGTGATGGGTCCATAAGGTCACTGATAAAACCTCTCTTGGAGTGTTTTGTCCACCTCTTCACCAATCAAGAACTGGTGGACAAAACAAGTCGCCCGACTCTGGGGGACGGAGCCCATCGGACCCACCCCATTGACGGAGCCGCGGCTGATGGACCGATGGCCGCGCCGATGGAGGTGTGTATTAAGCGCCACGGTGGTCTCACAGTTGAACTGATGACAGTTTCACAGCTGCAGTGGAGGATGTGTGGAGGATGGGTGGGTGGAGAGACTCCCAGTTCTTGAGAAAGATCGATTTGACACCGAGGCAGACTGAAGATGGCTGGAGGTTTTTCTATATGTTGCTAGATGGATTTTTTCTAGGTAGCTTCAAAGGCTGCTGGTGCTATGGAGGGCATGAGGTTTGGAGGATTTCTCTACTTCAGGGCCGAGGGCCTGGCACCCTCCCAAAGAACCAGCGGTTTTCACTCTACAACTTAAAAGCAGGTCAACCATTTTATGTAATGGACTCCGAAGGCTAGGCTATGTCTTGCGCTCCAAAAACGCCAGAGTGATCGGTCAAGCACTGCAGAAAACCACGTGGTGCAGAGGTCGATGGGTGTCGGGAGGTGGGATTCAGCCGCGAAAACCAGGCAGCCCGAACCCCAGGATTCCAAGTCATGATTCAGAATAGCTGACTGCCGAACTACTATAAGCTATTCTATGCTATTCTACTATAGTTTTACACTATACCAGGTCTGTCCCAAGCTCTTTTGATGCTCAAAGGGTTTCTGCAAATGGGACAATGCCACCCCAAATCGGTCCGTTTTGCTCGTCCCAAAGACGTACGGAGTGTGAGACTTGAACAAAAGCGAAGAGACAGGAGTTCCAGTTCATATGCCCTAGGGCTCCAAGTACCTTCTGAGAAGGTGTTTGGGGTGGGTTTGGAGGGTCCAAACACCTTCTGAGGAGGTACTTGGAGCCCTAGGGATGGTCTTTTCCTGGCGCCATGCAAATCCGGTGATTCTGATTGTCCCTCATTTCCGGTAAATGTCACCCTTCTGGGGAATGTTCTATAAAAATTCCTGTATTCCTTGACAGTAAATCTAAGTCTTACTGCATGGTTGACTTGTATAATATTCCTTTTACATGTGGGAACCCTTCTCTCGCGTGACAACCTGATTGGCCGGAATGTGGGAACTGTGCTTCGCCGCACCTGTTCGACCTTCGCAAGAGAGGCTTCGACCTGTAGTGACGTAGTGAATTCCTCAGGAACAGCTGAAGGCTAGGTACGGCTCGACGGACGGCTGGCAGAAGGTCAAAATGAAAGGGTATAGAACCGCTGGCGTTTTTTCGGGTCAAAGCGCGATGGAACTCATAATGGGATCCTTGGGGGACTCACGCTTCCGACGCCGCTGCGGGGTCCACGCCGCCTTCGCCGCTTCGCTCGCTCGCTGAGGACTTGTTGACGATCAGCAGGAGAGTTGAATCAGTTGACCCTGAAGGCCAGTGCTTCTCCAGGCGAGGCGTGCTTCAACCGCTTCGGTGCTTCTCCCGTCGAAGCGAGTCCCGGGTGGTCGGTTCACGGGCTGATCATATATGTGTTCCTTTTTTAACCATGCTTTAGAACAGAAGCAGCTGTTTTATAGTACTTCTGGGGATGTTGATATGCGGGAGAAAGAACCAAATACAGGTCCATCGGACCTCTTTGAATGAATTTGAATGGTCTGCTCAAACAAGGCTTGGGGCTTGGACTGGTTTTCAAAGACCGCCTACCGTGGCAGGGGCGTCGTCCATTGAGTTGCCGGGACCGGAGACCACCAACAGAACAGCGGAGACCACACATCACCGAACCTGAGGTTCGGTACGACTGGATCCCTAGGGAAAGTTCAGGGGTCATCTGGATCATTCTACCCTCAGACTCCGAATGCCCCGCAATGGGAAGGGGTTCCCCCCTGCGTTTCGAGGTCGGGTCTAGAGTCGGATTCTTGGGGGAAAACATCCTTTATTCACCCTAGCCTTCCAAGAACATTCTTAAATGGTTGACCTGGTGTTGTAGTGTAACGTCCTGTAGTGTAACATCCTGGTGTTGAAAAGATGATTCATAAAGACCATTGTGTTAAATGGTTGTTGGAAGCCTAGAGTTCACTCCTTCAACCCTAGTTACTTCCCCTGAAAAAAAACCTTTTAGTGCCTAACCTCAGGTTCGGTGATGTGTTCGACACTGTTATGTATGTTGGGGTTTGTAGGGTCCAGTCGTACCGAACCTGAGAAGGTACGACTGGATCATGCTAGACCACCATCCGTGGCGCCCCCGATTTCAATGTTGTATCAAGTGAAAGGACCTTCTTCTTCTTCTTCACGATTTCCCAATAATTGAATTTGGAGGACGGCGCAAGAGTTCAGGTTCTTGTTTCGATCTCATCATGCATGGCTTCTTCCACCACCGGGGTCTGATCCACAGGGGGGATCTGATCCGCCCCGCTCCCCGCGGCGCGGGGCGCGGGGCGGAGCAAGCATCCGCCGCACCCATCCAGGTTGATCGAGGCGTTCTTCGACATGGCTCCTCGGTTGGACCCCACAGCCTACGATTCCTGGCCCACCCAAAGCAGGCCGACCGGTCCCTCAAAACCCTCAAGAGACCCCTCCATATTGAAGGTCCGGCACCTACTCCATGGGCACCATGGTTTTCATGGTCTTGACCATAGATTGTTTTGCTAAGGATGTTACAATGTTACACTTTTGAAACCAGGTTCAAGTTTTCTTTTGATGGTTTGGGAAGGCTAAGCAGGTGATTTGGTTAGAATTTCCCAACATGAAACAAAAACATATCTCTTGGATGTTTAAGTGGTGCCCATGGCCTCTCTTGAGTCCTGCCCGCTTACTGTAAGAGTCCACTCAACTCCGTGTTTCAAGAATGGTTTGACTAGGTGCCCTGAGTCCAGGAATTTCCTGTACTTCGAAGGTGCCAAATATCGTGGAACTGGACTTCTGTTTTTCCATTGTTTTTCGTGTATACAGTATCTTATACATTCTTATATAGCAATACCATGTTTGCCGGAGGCATGGTTCAGTGAGCAGACATCCATGTTCAGTAAAAAAGACACGAACCATGCCGTCTTTGATGGGTTGGCGTTATTACATGGCTTCACATCCACCTTGCATCGGCCACTCCACCTCCGCCATCGGCCGTCGCCAAGGTGGGCTACACCGTCGAGACGCTGTTTGAAGGTCGGAATTGCATGGCTCCTTGGCCTGAGCCGAGCCGGATCCGAGGATGTATGGGCGAACAACAAGAACTGTCCTAATCAAAATTCCAGCACCCTCCAACAGGCCTCCTTTGGAGGATTGTAAGGCCCCAAGAGGTTTCAATTGGTAACCTGGCAGGTTTCGGCTGCTGGTACTGTAGGTGTTTGGGGGGATTGGGACACCCTACGACTAGACATGAGCAGGTGGGAACATTTTGGACAAACTCCCTGGTCGTCGGCTCGAGTTGTTGCCACTTCTGGGGAGTGAAAGGGCAGGATTTGGCGCTATCTACTTTGGCCTTCAAGAGAGGGTGAGTAGGTTTGCAGGGCATGTAGTTATTGCATGTTGTTGCCTTTTGCTAGTGAGGGGTGGGTATCCCGATTTGATGTGTATAGCAAGTTGCCTGCCAGTCGGTCATTACTAGAGAGTCACTAGAGAGTACAAAGAGACCCACATGGGTTCAGATCCGATTCCTCTTTGATGCAATTGGGGTGCCTTGTAGGCTTTGAAGAGGATGAAGAAAGGCAGATAAAGACAGACACCCAAATTGTTGGAGGTGAGTTTGTGTTGAACCCGTTCCCCTGCACCACAAGAGGGCTATCGAAGCTAATACCGCAGGATTTGATCCTTACGCAGGATGGTGTTGAGATTCTTTATCAGCCGTATCACACCAGAACCAAACTGGGGGTTTGGGTCTATACATCCAACACACCTGCACAGTTCAACTGCCGTTGGTCTTCCCATTCTCAATGAATCCTAAGGATCCCAAGCTTGGACCATCTGCCAGTTCCCAAAGGTTCAAGGGGGTGGATCCCTAGGGCTCCTGGCCCATATCCTCAGGTTCAGGTGCTTGGACCGTTGGACCCCCCTGGCACCCTGGCCCACCCCAACCACCGAACCGCAACGGCGGTGGGTTGGTTGGAGCTCTATAGGGGATATACGGTGCCCCTGTCACATCTAATTAACTATACTGGTTGGGTCTAAAAAGAAAATACCGTTTGGTCTTCCTCGACTGTCTGGCCATGCTGCCGTGCTGTTCTGTGCGCTTAGCATGTGGGTGTGATGAAACATAGGGAGACATCTCAGACAACGACCCCATGGGGAGCCCACAAATCCGGCTGAAGGACCACTGAGAAGGAAGCTGGAAGGGACTTTTGAGCACCGAAGAAGGTCCGGTCATTAGAACAGCCTATACATGCCTTCTTGATCCGAGCCAATCCAGCGATTTCTGGGGTCTGCAGAGCCCGGGATCGGATGTCTTGACAGATGGCCCTGGCATCTCAGGAGATCTGCCGAAGCAATCCTCTGCATTTCAAAGACCTGAAGAACCTCCGCCGCTTGGACGGCGAAGGTGGACAGAGGGTAGAGGGTAGCACCTCACGGAGGCGGACGTGGAGGCTACAGAGTAAACCCCCCAGGATGTGGATTGAAGAAGCAGTTGGTTGAAGGCTGGTGGTTTGAAACATCAAGCGTCTACTCTCTAGGGCTACCCTAGAAGTCCAAATACGCCATTTTGCACCAAGGAAGAGTAGTAAAGGAAAACTTCTTCTTTCGGATCGCCAAATCACCTAGAAAGACCGATATAGCCCCTGGAAATCACACTTTTAAAATGGTCTTTAGCCTAAAGACCATTTTTTTACAGTGAGTTCCATGGTCTAAACAATGTGGGGCTACCAATACAGGGTGGAGGCTGGCAGCGGCTTACCGGCCTAGGCCGGTAAGTCGGATCTTCAAGGATTCGCAGGTCTTTCTGCGCAGGTGGTGGTTAACCTACCATAAGGTCCAGGTGGTTGATTCGCAGGTGGTTTCAGATAATTCCTTCTATTTTTTCAACCTATAGGGTCCAGGTGCCTCCTTTTTGGATGGTCTTGGAGATGATGAAAGTAATTACTTCCAGAGAATGGTCGATCTGGGACAAAAATGCACATCCGATTCGGATGGTCCTGGACCCTTTACAAGCAAGGATGATGGATCCCATTGACTGATCATGGTTGTTCAAGTGCATGAGTCCATGAGTTGAAACCACCAACCAGCCTTCTTTTCTTCGGGTCAAGGACCAAGTGAGGTTTGGCATCCGCCACCTAGCCAGGACTCCAGGAGCTATATGGTCATCATATTGCATGTGCTGTTTCACAATGTTTCATATGATGAAGGGTGGTCAATTCCCATAGCCCAGCACGGCATGGCGTATAGTTTCTTTGGAAAGCAAAGGATACCATCAGAGCGACTGTCAGGTGGCCTATATCCACATATTCCATATATATTTAAATCCCATATATATATTATTAATGATAAGTTCACTGAAACAAAGACGTTCACCCCGGCGTAACTACTGACCAAATAAACACCTGCGACTTTTGCTAGTACAATGTTCTTCAGAGAACCAGGGGCTTTTGCTCCTTTGCGAGAACCTCTATAATTATCCAACGTTGAACATGCTGTTTGACGAACCAAAACTCCGTGCAACACCCAGCTTCTTCGCAGTGACCGGCGACATATATTCCCTACCTGGATCTTCCAAATAGGCGCCCCGCAACGCGGCGAATGTCTTCCAGGTACCGTTGCGGTGGGCTGCCTTCGCGGCCTGTCCCTCTTATGCGATGCGGGTGTGGTGCATTGCGACATGAAGGCTGCCTTCGCGGCATCGAGCGAGCCTTCTGCCCCTTGGGGTCCCGCGCATTCTCTTCTTGGAGGGGCATGTGTTTAGTTTCTATTTTTTTGGGGGGGTTGTTTTCAGCAGATGCCGCTTTTGCTTTTCTCTTTATTGCGAGCCCCAAGGAGTTCTTTAGACACATACTATAGACTAACACAAAAAAGTGCGTACAAATTAAAAAATTCACCACTTTTTACTGTAGCGCGCAAATGTTTAACAATTAGAATGGTTCACGTGGAAGTGGAAAACCACCTGTTTGTTGCCATCCAAGGGGCCATTTGCCACTTGTTTCTGAGAGTGTATGTACCGAAAGGTAAAGATGTTGGTGAAGGGTTCCGCCAAGTTAGACGATGTTTGGACTGGGTCGAAGATCATGAGTGATAGACTCATAGACTCATAGACCTTCTATACCAGGACCTTCCAACAGTGTAACAGGTGGTGTTAGGACCCTAAGAGGTGGTTTCTGGACACCTGTTGTCCCCAAAAAGCACCTGTTGGAGGGTCCAGGTACGGAAGTACCCAGCAGGGCCCTTCCGCACATGAACTCATGCAGCCTGCACCGTGCTTTGGAGCGCCACGCCGCACAGCTCGCCGCTGCGTCGCGCGCTGCTCGATGCACGCGCAGGCGGACAACTTCATGTGGACGAAGGGAACTGACGGCTCCACCGTGGTGCGCTTAGTGGACTTCGGCTGCTTGGTGCGCAGCGAGTGGACGGACGTCTCCCCGAAGCGGCCGGACTTGCGCAGTGGCAGGATTGACCGAATACCAGCACCCGAGGGTGCCCAGAAACCACCTGTTAGGGTCTCCAAACAGCCTGTTGGGGTCCTGGCACTGGTACCTATCCTATATAGGGACCTAGGAAGGTACCTTCGCAGGTTCGGTGTGATTGGACCCTCCTTGGCGGTTACAATAAGCAGTGTCTCCCTGCTCACCGTACCTGAGAAGGTACGAGTGGATTGCTAGGGATTGACCTACCCTCACCGTACCTGGGCTCCAACCTCCAAGGGGAAGGGAGGTCAATCGGTGTGCCGTTCACAGGTTCAGCACCCGGACACTCTATGGCAGGGCATTACTGAGGTGGTTGAAACGGGGTCAAGGGACATATGCATGCCATACATGGAGTGGTTTGGTGTGTGGGATAGGCGCCTCCAAAAGGGACTTTAAACAAACAGATGTCAAAAGTAACTCTTCCATCGTTGGTCTGGGCAGAAACTGGTTTTCTGCACAGAGGGACGGACGAACGGCTTCCGGCACGCGCCGAGGCTGCAGTCGATTGGATAGTCGTTTGGAGAATGGCCGGAACTGGGCCTTCGCAGAGGGCGGAGCAGGACGATGGGCGGACGATGGGACACATTTTTTGGGTTCGGTCTCGGCGGCGGCCGTTTCTTTTTATTTTTCGGTTCAGGGTTTGGGACTTATATGACTTCATATCAGTCCCCAGCAATCCATGTCATGTATGGAATGTTTGCCTCATTTGGGTGATTCTATAAGAGAGATGTTTTAAGGGTCCTTTTTAAAGTATTTCCAGTCCATGGATGGTGTGGGCTAAACTCCATCGTCCAAGCTGACTCGTCAGCAAGTACGACTCGCGTGCCGGGATGTAGCGACGAGATCGCAGCTGAGGACGAAGCCAGTGATAGGACGGAGCCAGAGCTGGTTTGACTGCTGGACCCCACCAGCTGGACCCCTTAGACTTATCGCTGAAGTGGCTGCCGGCCTCGTGGATCCCTAAGACATCGTTCAACCTTCCGCGTTGGGGGCCGCAGGCTGGTCCGGAAATGGGGTGTCTCACCAGTCCCAGACACTCTGTGGATTCCGTGGATATTTAAACATCGACCCCGTTTCAACCACCTCAATGTATATAGGTAAATATTCCAAACCCTGCAGGACCTTCCAACAGGTCCGGTGGTTTTTTGACCACTAAGAACGTTATATTATACGTTATATATGTTTAACACAATATCAGAAACCAGAGTGTTTGGGATAGGTTTGGAGGGACCGGGAGGTCGGGCATGGTGTCTGGCCATTGGGCAGGACACATCGGCAAGTGGGCTCCCGAAATGATGTGCCTGGGCGGTGAGCGGGGATTCGGACTCTGCCGGGCTCTTCCGCATTTGCTGGCGGACCCGTCCCGAGTTCGAAGTCACACGGGTTTTGTGGGTTCATGTTGGTGCTTTTAACAGCTGGTTCTGAACGGGATTCAGGCTAGATCAACAGTGGGCGACTGGAAGCCTAGGAAAACGTTTGTGCCATTTGCGGGGTTGCATGGTTTTGAGGAATGAGGCCCCATCTCAAAGGCTCCACCTGGAATGGCGAGACCGTGACCTGCTCCTCATAGGCATAGTCTCAGCAACGTTTGTGCTTAGGGGAAGGGGTGCGAAAGACAGCATACTATCACTTACTGTATGTTGTGTCACTTGCTACGTACGTTAGGCGGACATAGATGCTCCCACATCATATTGGGGATGAAGTATTACCCCGACTCCTACGTGTCATCAACTGGAGAAGCATTCGTGACCATTATAGGGGATATTTAAGGGCTTACGCGGACGGTAGAGGGGATAGAGGCAAAAGACATGAGGCGACGGGGTCGGATTGTTGTCTGTTGTGGCTGGAATTGTGGGGAGAAGGAGATCTTGGCAGAGGCCTTCTTGGCGTCTGAGTTGGCGCGGTGCCGCCAATGGAAGCCGTGTTTGTTGGTGCTTTCAGCCCACTCGTCGCAGAAGTTGCATTGGAAGACAGTTGCCACCAGCCTCGCTCTAGCGCCGAAGGTGTTGCTGCAAACCAAGAAAGAGGATTTTCCGCCGGCGCAGGAAAACGTGGCCGAGTTCGCTGGGGAATGGACTTGAGAGTTCGTGGGGGACGCTGGCTGCAAAGAGGATTTGATGAGGCTGGGAGGCGCTCCGTTGCTAGCACGGTGCGAGAGTTACCAGCGAGCCAGCCACCGAGCAGACATGTGGAGGTACGTGCGACTGCATCGTGTGGGAGGATATTACTTGGACATCGCGCAGTCCGTGCTGGGACCGCGCCTAGAAAGCCAGCCTAATTTGATCATGAGCAGGGGCCCCAACCAGCATCACACCGTCGTTACATGGGATTTTTAGCGGGCAGTGGATCTCCAGGTTGACTTTGTTGGAGAGTTCTCTGCCTGGCTTTCTGCGTGTCGTGCAGGAGGTCGTGAACAGCGACAAGAAGCAGCGTTTTCAAATGCAGGCGGATGAGGTGCAGGACGGGTAGCATGTAGTGGGTCCGTGCTATCGTTACATCCCCTTTTTCCGGAACAGGTTCCCTGCGCAAATCCAAGCCTTGGACTTGGAGACTGAGCCATCAACTCAGGTCAACACTTTGGATTTGGACCTGAATGAGCGTGCCTCCATCACCTGAAGAAGGGCTGGACACTGCCTTCTGGCACTGGGCATATTCTGAGCAGCCGGGAACAGCTGTTGTCGCTGTCCTCACCGACCTCAACCTTCACCGCTTCCAACTCCACCAAACCTTACAAACCTTCCACACACTTCAGGATCCACCACTTTGGCACGACCCTTTCCAACAGAACCTTCCCACTCCCCTCAACCAACTTTTCACCCGATTCCACACACACATGAATGTCGCTGAGACACAGGTGCGGAGGGCCCTTGACATCCTTGACAACATCGGACGCTACCCAGCAAGGGCCTACCTCAGGGATCCCAACATTGATCCCGAACAACAACCTGCTGTACCAGGGCAACATCCCCGCTTGCAGCCCGAACCATCCCTTGCTGACGCGTGCGCTGGCAGACACCATGTGCACCTCGCAACCACAGTTGCGAAAGCGATACCTGAAGTTCTGCGAGTTTTGTGGCAGGAGATGGCCTCAGATTTGGGGCACCTTCCATCCCTCGGTTGGAACTTTTGTTCGCGGCTGGGGCCAATCTATCTCTTGGAAGAGAAGTTGGTCAAGGAAGGAAGCAAGAAGGTGGAGATGGCAGTCACCGCCACGGGCAAGGAGGTGCCGGTGGATGGGCATTTCATGTTTTTGGAAGGGTCGCGCACGCGTTACGCAGCAACGAGAGCGCAACAACTCCACAAAGTACTCCGCCTGCCTCGTCAAAATCTGCACGCCAAGGTCCACAAAGTACTGCACCTGCCACGAAATGTGCACTTCAAGGTCCGCAGTACTGCGGCTGCCATGAAAACTGCACTTCAAGGCCCAACAAGTACTACACCTGCCACGAAGTTTGCACATCAAGGTCCACAAAGTACTGCGCCTGCCACGAAATCTTCACTTCAAGGTCCACAAAGTACTGCACCTGCCACAAAATCCATACTTCAATGCCCACGAAGGACTGCACTTGCCACGGAATTTGCACTTCGAGGTCCACAAAGTACTGCACCTTTCACGAAATTTGCACTTCAAGGTCCACAAAGAACTGCACCCGCCACGAAATGTGCGCTTCAAGGTCCACAAAGTACTGGACCTGCCACGAAAACTGCGCGTCAAGGCCGACAAAGTATACACCTGCCACGAAGTTTGCACTTCAAGCTACACAAAGTATCGAAGGCTCTAATGTACTTCTCTGGAGCAGTCCCAATACGTAGAGTGAGGACGCATACCATATCGTGTAGGAGGTTCATGTAGTGTGCTGACACTCTACGGCATCTCGGGTAGAAGAGCTGTACGTATGACTCGTGCAAGACAGACCTGTGCTCCGGAGAAGGTTCTTCATCGTAGTCCGCAATGTAGGCTATAATGATGTCCACAACCTTCTCGGGAACCCCGTACTCCAGCACCAATCTTTGAACTCTATCTTCTGCGGGAGTTGGATCAGGCAGATCTCGTGACCTCGTCAGGCGGGGCATCTCCTGCAGATCAGATATGTCATATATTCTGTCGTAGTGTTGCAGCACTGCACCGTGGTAGTTGTTGATGCTATCGAAATCCTCGGGATCGAATGCCCTTCTCGGAAGTACGTTGGCAGGCATCCCCTGCAGCATGCAGACTGCCGGTGCCCTCATCGGGCTCGTTTCTGTACGAAGCCATCTCAAGTAGCCCCAATGCATGCGTGCCTAGCCACATGTGCTGATATGCGGTCCAGCTCGTACTCTACACATTCGCAAGGCTGCTTTGTTCGTGGCAAACTCTGCTGTATGGGCTTGTTCTGTAGTTCTTGCCTGCTCACTATGGTGCACCATCGTGGGTCACACTCTGCAAGTCCTGATATAGTGGCACGTATGGCTACCTTCTGACAGTTGCTTAGGCCGTGTCCATTATTGATCACGGATTCCTTCATCTGTGCCACACTCTCATGGTTGCTTTCTGCCCTTACTCCAACTGACACTGAAACAAGATGTCATTAGAATGACAGTGACTTGCATTGAGCCAACACCAGTTGACAAACAGGTTGTGTTCTTAGATGATTGCCAAGCGCATCCAACCCTCGCGAAGCTTGGCGGCGTGGATTGGGCAACAGTGCTGTGTGACAGCTTGAAAGCAGTGCTGGAATGCTGTTTGGCTTGAGGCTTCTTGTGGTCCACGTTCGTGAGGCTGCGGCCATGGCTATTGTAGATGGAAATCACGAGGACAGCGCCCTTCTTGCAACTTGTGGGGCTGTCAACTGGATGTGCCAGGAGTTCCGATGGTATGAAATGGCCCCGCTGGCTGGCACTTGGTATGGAGTTTTTCCATACCGTCCGGTTTTTGCATTGTCACCCTTGCGCTTTGAGCTGAGTGGCTTGGTGCTTGAGCAGCCGCAGCCTTCAGACATTAGGATGTTCCAGTTGCCTGAGCCTGCTGTACCGCAAAGGCCGTAGCGATCATGTGAAATACATGGGTGTTCACGTTGCATCCCTCTGTGAGATCCTTGAGAAGTTTCTCCTTAGCCTTGCGGTTCAAAAGGCAGGACGTCTGTGTTATCCCATAGATGCGATGGCTGGTGTTGTATTTTGTGGACCTTGTGAGGTGCAAATTTCGTGGCAGGTGCAATACTTTGTGGACCTTGAAGTGCAGATTTCATGGCAGGCGCGGTGCAGTACTTTGTGGACTTCCCAGCTTGCGAACCCCCATCCACCACCATCACCACCATCAGCACCCACCACCATCACCATCACCACCACCATCACCAGGATCTCCACCTTCATCACCACCATCACCTCTCTGGACCCCAATGCGTCTAGATCTCTAGACTTTCTGCTGCACCTTCAGACCTCAAACGCACTGTTTGGGGTCTCTTGCCGGGATAGTTTGTATTTTCTATCCCTATAAACGGTGACTCCCCATGAGTGGGGAACATATGTTTTGTGTCTTGTCCTCAGCTTCAGAAGCCAGCAGCAAAAAGACAAGGTAGCGGCGTCGTTATTGCCCCCGCTGTTCTTTAGTATTCCAAACATGAAACTCCACGCAAACGATGTTTTTAATGGTTTGCGAGCTGCGTTTTGACTGATATTTGCAGGAAAACGAACAATTTGGTAAGAATTCCATTGTGTAAAATGTTTCGGTCCGAAAAAACAAAATTGGTCACCAACATAAATGGCTGCAGAGCTACATGCAACACTTCAAGAAGCAGCGAATCAGCGGTGGAACTTTCACTCCGGATTTTCAACAAACTATCAAGATACCACGGGTCTACGTCAATGATTCGGGGAGCATGACTTCACTGGTCATTCGACACAGTGCTTTGATTCACGACCTGCTTCTGCTTTTGTATTTTCTCCATAGCAATGGATCTGTACCTCCTGCCCTCGGAGCACCGTCCCGCTCAATTGAGCGGCATGCGCCGGTGCTACATCTTCAAGTTCCAAGACCACAATGCCCCGACGAGGATGGGGGAATGGATCTACCTGCATCAACAAGCAGGGGATCCTATCGATGAGGACGGCGAAGGACTCCGGAGGTTGTTCCCAGCAACTGGGCGGATTTCGTTCAGACGAATTACTCGTCGAGGGCATGTGGCGTTTGGAAGCGTGCATGGGGACCTACCAGGTTCACGAGACGGGAATCACGCTGCTCAACTTTGCTTGCTGCATTGGAGCGCGCCTCATTCCAAGGGTGGAGTTCGAGTTTCATGAGCAACACTTGCCTCACAT